CAAAGAAGTGGCTTTTTCTGTGTCATCACACTAGGTGATTCTAATAGCTTCAAAGATGGAGCATCCTTCCTGCCTTTCCTAAGCCCCAGGTGGGATACACAGTGGGCCTGAGAGAGAGTCAGACAAGGGACTGAGCTGGGGGCAGAGAAGGCCAGAGGGCCTGAGCAGCAGGACTTGTGAACAGCAGGAGCAAGGCACAATGCACTGCTGGCTGTGTGGTCATCAGTTGCCAGGCCAGGTGTGGGTGATAGCTGAGTGAAAGCCTGGTTGGGGGAAGGAGGAGAGTGAACTGCAGCCCTGACACCCATGCCAGGGAACAGAACAGGAGCATGAGCTGACAGAGAAGCCATGAACACAATGAGGCAGTTGCTTTGCCATGGGAACCCACAGGTCTGCAAGGCCCAGCTTCAAATGGTACAGTTACTGCTGCCCAGTGAAACACCAAGAAAGCTGAGAACCAGGGTATAGGACAGGCAGCCACTGAAAGAGAAGGAGCAGAGGGGAGGCCAGCCCTTTCCCATGACACTACTGCAAGACTCCATGGTGAGAATTGGAGAGTAGTAGGTAGGGACACAACACAGCCATCTCCTGGTTCAGTGGGCCCAGGCAGTGGGCCCTTGACCTTGATATGGGGCATTGGTCCCATCCCATATAACACCCCAAGGAACTAAGAACACCAACATCACTCCCCTATGCAGTGCCCCCATAAATGCCGGAGTGGCTGTACACAAGTGGTGGGAGCAGGTACAGGAAGAGGCAGGGCAAGGACAACCTGAACGATCTTCTAACACATTGATTTGCAATTTTAAACCTTTTAGATTGTAAGTGCTCCAGACAAGAGGCTGCTTTCTGAACTAGATGCTTTACATCAGACATTTCTAGGCATCATTCACAAAAGGAAGATACTGAGCTGTCAGAATGCAAAACTAGACACGTGAGGCCCTTTCCAGTGCCCAGACTGAGCAGGACAAGAGGGGACTGTCCCATTGTATGCCTCTTTACCCCTGCTCAAGGCACATTATGTACAGAATTTGTTCAGGGATGCTTCTCTTGGCCAAAGCCAAGGCACACAGTTCCCAACCAAGCAGAGGCAATTTCTTGTGTCAAACTCATCAGCTTTGTCAGAAAGTCTCGGTCCAGCCCTATCAGGACCAGACCACGCCCTCTGAAATGACAAAGGTGCTCTACACAGGATCTTAATCACTGTAATAAAGCCTGCCCCGGCAGGAGTTTGTTCAGCATTTCTCCACTAGAGAGGCTTTCTCCTAGTAGCTGATCAATGTGCTCTGGGTCTTGCTTCCAAACAGACCTGAGTTCCTCAAGGGCACAGCTTGAGTCTTGTTCTGGTATCCATAACCATAATGCCCCCAGACATCTCAACTGCTGCGAGCCTACACTTCAGGATACCCGCTTCCCTGAACTCTAATAAACAACTGCTGAACTCCAGGTCAGACTGACTGGAGGACTGAAAACAACATGCTACATTGTGGCCAATTTCTGTAACACAGAAGTGATCCCAAAGCATACATGGGTAAGATATTAGCCTCAGTAAAGCTGGGCTGTCCAGCTGACCATCAACAGAACTGGGAAGGCCTATGTCCATGCACAGCATAACAGGATACTTAGCAAGAGCCTAGGTTGAAGAGGAAGAAAATCCTTTAAATGTTAGGAAGGGGCCCAGTATGATGGCCTAGTGGCTAAAGTCCCTGTCTTGAGTGCACCGGGATCCTATATAGGAGCCAGTTCGAATCCCGGCAGCTCCACTTCCCATCCAGCTCTCTGCTTGTGGCTTGGGAAAGCAGTCGAGGATGGCCCAAAGCCTTGGGACCCTGCACCAGTGTGCATGACATGGAGAAAGTACCTGGCTCCTGGCTTCGGATCGGCACAGCAACGGCCGTTGCAGTCACGTGAGGAGCGAATCAATTCTTTTTAAAAATCAATTACATAGGAAGAATTTATTCCTTGTTTTATGACTCTTATAAGTGGAAGAAATAAGAATTTTATATCTGTTTCCATATGCTAAAGGGAATTGTCTTTGTTAAGTATTTTAAGTGAAAAAACAAAGACCAACCGAGAAATACCAACTGAGGCGAAAAAATCCTTCCATGATCTCAAAGTGTATACAGCAAACCAAGATTATGAATCCACTTCTTTTACCGGTGTGTGTAGGACTTGATGGGCTTTCATGGGTGGTAATTCACACACAAAGTGCTAGAATTTTACGGTTGGTGCCAGAGAATGAAGAAAGAGGAGGAGAAATCTACTTAGAGATCTAGTTGACAAAACAAGAGACAGAATTTACAGAGTTGTCATTTACAACGCAGCCAACATTCTCTCACACCCACGGCACTGACCAAACCTGAGATCAAATCAATACAAATTTTAAGACAGAAATCAAGCCAGTTGTCTGGATGACACTGTGAGAAACAGAGCTGTCCAGTGTGCTGAAAGGAACATTGTCAGTGAACCCTGACGTGTGTGGCACCAAAGAAGCAGCAGCAGCACCATGTGGCTCTGTGTTGGAAGGCGCTCTGCTCACCACCCACTTAACTACAAACCCTGTCCTGGGGCTTGAGGCTTCCCCAAGGCTTAAAGGGTGACTGTGATGCACGCTCGAGCTTGTGAACCAACTCTTCAGTGAAACGCGTCCTTCCTAAGGGTTCTGGAATGTGTTTTCTTTGAAGAGACTCTTGTCCTTTCTGACTTGGGCAGGCTAACCTGATGTCTCATGAAACTACACAATTATCAATGTCCTGTGTTTTTCTCTTGCCCCAAGGCAGACCTCTCAAATAGTATCTTGGACTCAAACTTTTCTTAACAACTCCCATTGCTCCCTGGGTCCCAGTGGGAATCGTGCCAGCTCTTCTTCTTGAGCCCCGTGCAGTCACTTCCCTGAGGACATCCTCCTTCCAAGGGGCAAAGCTCATGGGGCGTGCATAGCAGGTGTGGGCAGCGATGGGAAGCTAGGAAGCTGCATGAAGGGACCATCAGGAACTGTGAGACCTGAACTCACTCTCCCACTTGGATGAAGAAAGGTGAGAGATGGAGGCTTTCCACATCAATCTGAAACTGTCTACATGAGGGAGGTCCTATTACTTTCCTACCTCATGCACTCATCGTGGGCAACATTTCTCTTGTCAGCTGTTCCAGGCTCTGTGACTCCTAGGATAATGCAGTAACAATGCAGATGGATGAGGAAGGAGCTAGAATGAAGAATGATGCTAGAAAACGACCATCTTACAGGGGAGATGTGTTTACAATGGTGTAAGAAAGGAGAGAAATATGGGCTCTGTACTGCAAGGGAGGCGTGGAAAGAGGAGTCACAGCAAGGTGCCATGTCAGTGAGCCGTTCCCACAAAGAGAGGGCAGTGAAGAACATGCCAGGAAACAAGCCCCTTATCCTCTCCAGCGCCAATATTTCTGTGTCTCCCTCCTGCCTTGTTCTGTCACCTCACCTGTAATGTCCTTTTATTTCTCCATTATTTCCATTTCTTTGCCTCCAACACTTCTTTCCTGGCCGGGACTTCGTGAAACCTACTAAATAGCTGTCCTTTCAGAAGGGTTCTCTGAGTCTCCTTCAAGCCACATTCATGCTGTTTCTCAATCTACTACATTTCCCTGCCCCATCTTCTCTCATCTTCACTAAGCACCTGTGCATCTTACTCACTAAGAGGCGCCCTCATGGATCGCTGCCAAGAACGTAGGTGTGTTCAGAGGCCCCCTTCCCTGATGTGCACACACTGGTAAATTACGCATCCACCTTGCAGGCAACACAAGATCCTATTGAAGATGGATTATGTGAAGAACAGTGATGCCAGGACAGCATGAATGGCAAGATTGAGCTGTCTGACTGTTGCATCCCAGGGTGAGCTGTGCTGGTGACAATTGGAGGCATGAAAGCTGGTCAACATTTTGATGTGCTGAATGTTGTCTGACAACCTAGGAGTGCAGACAGTGAGCATCTGGAAGGGGGATGGATGCCCTTACAGAAGAGGCTTCCCAGAGGAAATGGAGGACTATCACAGGAACTGCAGAGGGTCTTGTGACAGCCCAGACAATAGAACACAGCAACTGTAAGGGTAGGTCTTCTCAAACACTTCTGGGACATGTCCATAACCTGAACTTTGCCATCACCTTGGGTTCTTGGACAGTCCCGAAAGAGAAGTGAGAGTGCTTATGTCATTCCAGGATGAGATCTTGCTTTTCTTTCACAGCTCAGGCAGTAAGCCGATTGACACAAATTGCTTTCTGTATGTCCTAATTGGAAGGTCCTGTTTTTCCGGTTGTGCTGTTCACTACTGGGTAGGATGCGACTCTAGCTGACTGGATATTTAAAAGTGTATGATGCTTCAACTGGATATCGGCTCAATGTCATGCAGTTGATTGTATCATTGGTATTGTGCGTGGATGTAAGCTTGGCTGATTACATGATTCACATCATATACATGGTTGCTCCTTGCTTGTGTGTGTGGTGGAATGGGGCAGTATAGCAGTCGGAACAACCAGTAAATAAAATTTTCTTGAGCTTCCAAGAGTCTGCCTTTGACACATATTTGGGATAGATTTGGTCAACTCAAAGCAGTCTTTAGCATGTTGTTCTGTTCTAGTTTGAGACCATTCTATTCTAAGCACCATTTTTATTTCCTACACTCAGATGTGGAACCTGAAACCCACAGAGAAGAGAAAGCTATGCATGGTATATTCTCATGGAAATGGTGACCTGAAGTTTGCCTCCAGGTCTGAGTGGCACCAAGTGTCTTCCTTCCACTGCAGCACATACTGGTCTTGAGGATGAGTTGCCTGTGATCCTGGATGCCTTGCAGCATCTCAAGGGTGAGCCTTCCTGCCCCAGCTTTTAAACTCCTCAGACACACCATTCAGGCAGTGCCTCGTGTCACATCTGCACCTGAGGATGCTCGCCCACCCAGATGGACCTGGGCCATCTGAATCCCTGATGACCAAATGTGCGTGAGTGACTAGAGCTGCATCCCCAAGGCAGCATGGAGCTCAGGAACGTCACGTGGGTGTCGTATTTTGTGTTCCTGGGGCTCACACAGACTCGGGAGCTCCAGCTCTCATTGTTCCTGGTCTTCCTCCTGGTCTACATCACCACGGTCACGGGAAACCTCCTCATCATCTTCACAGTGACCTCTGACTCCCAGCTCCATGTGCCCATGTACTTCCTGCTGAGAAACTTGGCTGTTGTAGACCTCTGCTTCTCCTCAGTCACCTGTCCAAAGATGCTGGCGGACTTGCTCTCTGAGCAGAAAACCATCTCCTACCAGGGATGCATGGCTCAGATTTTCTTCTTTCACTTCCTCGGAGGAGTCATGGTCTTCTTCCTCTCAGTGATGGCCTATGACCGCCTCATAGCCATCTCCCGGCCTCTCCACTATGTCACCATCATGAACACTCGGCTGTGTGTGGCACTGGTGGTGGCTTCCTGGGCAGGAGGCTTTGCCCACTCCATTGTGCAGGTATCTCTGATGATTCCCCTGCCTTTCTGTGGCCCCAACATCCTGGACAACTTCTACTGTGATGTCCCCCAAGTGCTGAGACTTGCTTGCACAGACACTTCCCTCCTGGAATTCCTCATGATCTCCAACAGTGGCATGCTAGACGTCATTTGCTTCCTCATCCTCCTGGTCTCCTATGCCATCATCCTGGTGATGCTGAGGTCCTATCCGAAGGAGGCGAGGAAGAAGGCAGCTTCCACCTGCACCACCCACATCATTGTGGTGTCCATGATCTTCATTCCAAGCATTTACCTCTATGCTCGGCCCTTCACCTCATTCCCCATGGACAAAGCAGTGTCCATCAGTCACACAGTCATGACCCCTATGCTTAACCCCATGATCTACACCCTGAGGAACCAGGAGATGCAGGCAGCACTGAAGAGATTGGGGCGGCATTGCCTGGTGTGTAAAAGGGAGTGACAATGGAAAGAATCTTGTCTTTATTCCCTTGCAAAGTGTCAGAGATCTTCTGCATCTGGTTTCTTCCTAGTCAATGGATTTGTTCAAAGAATCATCTTGGAAGGTTTTGCTGTTTATAACTACACAACTTACTCAAAGTTCTGGTCAGCAGTTAGTTTTCTTCATAGACTCAGGTTTGTTTGAACTGTCCCCATGCCCTAGTAAGCACAATTTGTTTCCCGCTCCAGGTGGACACTAGCTTTTGGTGAATTTCCTGTATTTTGATTCTCTTCTCAGCATTTCCTCTTCGTCTGAAGCCACAGTATTACAGACAGCATCAGACTGTAGTTTTAAGTGTAAAGTCTGGAGCTGTGAGCTTTACCCAGTTGCTGACCTTGGCTCAGTTACCTAAACGCTTTGGTATCATGCCTTCTATCTCATCAGCTGGTATGAAAAAGCATCAATGAGGAAATCATCCAAGTGGTCTCAAAGACCAAAATTTTAAATAATGAGAAATAATTTGCAAAGCTCATATCCCGTAAGAGAAACGCTGCCACTGTCTGTGACATTTATTCTTGCATCAGTGTACTTATGCTTTGTAAATATGACACTGCTTATAAATGAAGTGAAGGCGGCACAGAAGAAAGAGGCTTAACTCCCATTGCAGGATAAACCGTGGGACACAACCAGGAGCCCATAATGATGGGCACAGACTTGCTGCCATGTGTGCAAGAGTCTGACTATTTCCTGCCCTTCCCACCCATTAACCTGCCAGATCAACAATTCTTGCAAACAGAAACCAAAAGATTCTTCCTTCCTTCCATCCATCCTCCTTTCCTTCCTCTTCCTCTCCACTCCTATTTTCCTTCCTCCTTTCCTTATTTCTTTATTCATATTTGAAACAACCATATGTGTTATAATGCAGCACTTTATCCATCGAACATGCTCTAGAGATACCTTTACTGGTGTCTCTCCGTTCTATTCCTCTTTCTTCCTTTATGTTGACTTTGTTCTCTTTTTTCTTATATTTACTTGTTTTTATCTACTTCAAGGGAAAGGAACGAGGAGGAGAAAGAAAAGGGTCCAGCACTATGGCAAACTATGTAAGCCTTTGCCTGAGGTATTAGCATTCCATCGGGTGCTGTTTAGAGTCCTGGCTTTTCCACTTTCAATCCAGCTTCATGCTAATTTGCCTGAGAAAGTAGCACAGGATGGCCCAAGTTCTTGGGCCCCTGCCTCCATGTGGGAGACTTGGAAGAATCTCTAGGCTCCAGGCTGCAGACCAGTTCAGCTCTGGCTGTTGTGGCCATTTGGGTAGTAAACTAGAGAATGGAAGATCTGTCTCTCCAAATTTCCTCTTGGTAAATCTGCATATCAAATAAAAATAAGTAAATATTTAAGAAAAAGAGAGAGAGAGAGTGCTTCCACCTGCTAGTTCACTCCCCAGGTATCCACAACAGCCAGTGCTGGGCCAGGGCAAAATCAGGAGCCTGAAATTCCATACTCTCCCACTTGGTGGCAGGGGTCCAACCATCCATTCTGTCCCAGGATACATTAGCAGGAAACTGGAGCCAAAGCAGAGCTACCAGGACTTTAATTGACACTCCAAGATGTGATGCAGGTGTCACAGGCAGTGACTTAGCCGCTTGTACCATAACACCTATTCATGTCAGTTTAGTCTTTTTATCTGTCTGGGTCATCTTCCTTTTCCCAACACCATGGTGTGTCTAGATTTCTCTGCACCAAACTGTTTCCCACCTACCTGTCATGTCACCTAGTAGGTGATGGTGCTACACTTAAGACCTGCTCTCCAAGGCCCCAGAAGGCATTTTTCTCCAGCTTCACTAAGTGCAGAGCACTCAAAGCTGCCACTCTCAGGAGGAGAGTCCTCCAGCCTTGTGTTGATCTAGATTCTGGATCCCACACAGGCACACATATGTGCACACACCTATGCCACCTGCTGGCCCAGTCTAGCCTCTAGTACAAAGTGGAACCACTGCAGTTTGAGACAAGCCTCTTCTCCCTGCATGTATGCGTTCTCAACATGAGAACAGAGCCAAGGACTCCCTTCCCAGGAGCCCCTGGGAGCCCACCAGCTCTACTCTACCCTGTGGTCTCAACAGGTGCCGTTGAAGCTGGGCAGATAAAGAGATCCAATCAAACCTGTAGCCAGTGGCTCCCCCGAGGCTGGCAGACCGTTCTTGTGCAAGTGGTTGCAGAAGCTTGAGGTTTTGAGCCTGTCAGGCAAGGTGGGAGGGGAAAGTTCTTAGGTATTGCAGTTGCAAGATGCCTGGCAGGAAGCTGCCCTCATGGTTCAAGGCCTGGATCTCAACTGACCTGAGTTGGCCTGGGCTGAGGAGAGCAATGCCCTTGACTGACAGCACCAAGTCCTCCCAAAGGTACAGGAAAAAAGCCACGAGTAGCAAGGTCACAGTGAATGCAGCCATTCCACACCCCAGATGAAGCCCTGCCAGTCACTGTGTAGGGAACTGAGGTTACAGCAGGCAACAGAACAAACGTGTGCCTCTGCTGAATGACCCTCAGAAGGGATAAGAGAGGAGACAGTGAGGTGGAGTGGCCTTGGAGAACAGAGGGGCAGCAGCCAGACTGTGCCAATCCCCAAGAACCTGCCTGGAGGAACAGGAACAGGGAGGGTGAGTGCTGACGAGGTCAGATGAGTGAGTGCCCAGGGCCTCCTGCTCCCACAGCCCTGAGAAAGCAGGAGAACTCCCCTACCTTCCTCTCTTCATCAGCCCCTATTCCTAGCCTCCAGCACCCTTGTCATCCCAAGAGGTGTCTGCTTTCTGGCTCCATTCCAAACCTCTTCCCCTGTATGGTTCCATCTGGATCTTATCTTGCCCATTTCCCTTTTGGAGGAAGGGCTCTCCCCACCAACTCCCAAGCTCTAAGCACAACCAGACCCCAGTCTTGCCCATCCAGTGGCAGTCCCCAAATTCCACTTCCAGAGGGAAGACCACCCACAGGCCTGGTAGGAAGCTGAGCTCACAACCAACCATGTGAGGTGACTGCTGTCCCTGGCACACAGCTCCACACTCATTGGGTTGTCTAAGCTCACATCTTGGACAGAACCCACAGCAACTACCCACAGCTCAGGCTCCTGTCTTCTCAGTTGTGCACTAGGGGTAGCCACAAGACCCAGGTGGTGCCCACCCGAAGGCTCTCCCATCTCCACATCCCCTCCATGCTGGCCTCCGACTCCTACCCCACCGCTGCACCTGATATATCAGGGTCAAGACTTAAGAGTAGCCAAAGTGCCCTCTGGTAAAGGAAGACCATGTGGGAAATCCCAGCTCAGGGTAATGTTTGCGCCTTCTTTGCCAAGGCAGAGAAGAGCATGTGGGCTTACAGGCTAGGACACCAGCAACTTGACTTCTACAACATTTCCCGAGCGCTGGCTCTGGCCCCAGCTCTGTGCTGGGTGCTGAGCACATGACCAGCCATAAATAAGAGCAGGCATAAGGTTCCCCAAAAAAGACTCTTCAGCCCACCCAGGAGATGGGCATAGGGACATCGTGGAGGGGGGCATCGGACTCTACTGAATGGGGAGTGAACACAGAGGGCATGAGGGAAGACTTTCTGGAGGGAGTGATGGCTCAGTTCAGTTGGGGAAATGAGTGGAAGTTAAACAGGCAAAGGGAGCTTCTGCAGAGATCTGAGGTGAGGAGGAACAAGGGACATCAGAAAATTTCTGAGAGATCAGGGCTAAGTAAGTTAGGTGAGAGTGGACATTGGCTAGCTCTTGCCTGGCCTGGGAAGTCTTGGAAAGGCCTGTGGGGGGGAGCACTGTGCATCGACCCCACAGTAACTCTGAGTGGGCTGGGCTCATCCCAGCAGAGCATATGAGCTGCCCTTCCCCACGTGCAGATGTTCAAAACCCAGGATCCCTAATCCCTTTCCCCAGGGACCTAAACTCTGTGTGTGTGTGTGTGTGTGTGTGTGTGTGTGTGTGTGTGCGCGTGTGTGTGTGTGTGTGTGCGTGCGTGTAGTCTCCTGCCTTGTTATTCAGTGAAGGGAAGTGGAAGAGGACCAAGAGCAAGGCAGGGGAAACAATCACCTACATGTTGAATACAAAGGGTGTCCAATCCACAGGGTCTTGCAAGCAGTGAGACTACACATGTGAGAGTGACATGCGAGCGACGGCCTCCACAGTGGCAATTTTAAATGTCACAGTTAGGCCTCCCATTAGGCCCATTCTCCACAGTTGCTGTTGCTGACTAGCAAGCTTGACTGATGTGTGGGAAGCTTTGAGAGAATGCTTTCCCATTGCCAAGTACCATCCCAAGCACTATCTTTAAAGCACAAAGCAACAGGTGGAACGGCCGGCTCTGTTGGCAGCCTGCACATGTGCACTGAAAAAGTGCTGTGGTTCAGGCTCCTGTAAGTGATGCCAGCTGCAGGGGCAACCCTGCTCGCGGTGCCATGCTAAGAACTCTCGTGGTAACTCCATGTCCACAGAGACTGCACAGGGATGGCAAAGATGCAGGACAACTGGATTTGTTTCTCTGCACCCATTTGGAGCTTTGGTCTGGATTTGTTTCTCTGCACCCATTTAAAGCAGTGAACAAATGCAGACAGTGAAATGTAAGATAAAGGTCTTCATAACAAGTTCACAGAGGGGTGGCCACTGGGCCAGCAGCGCAGATGCACCTGCCTGACCCTAACGGTTTGCTAAAATGTGGACTTTGGGAGGCAGCAGTGATGGCCCAAGTAATCTGATTTTCTGTCACCCATGCAGGAGACCAGATTGGGCTCCTGGGGGCACCTGGCTACAAGGGGAGAGGAGGCAGGGCAGGGTTGGGGAGCACCCAGCCAGAGTTTTCCTCTTTGGGCTCCACTGTCCCCACCTCACGGGCTTGGGGACAGAAGTCCAAACCTGAGCCATGCACAAGGAACCTAGTGCCCTTTGAGTTCCAAAATAGTGACTTGTCACCCAGGCTATTTGTCATCAGAGGACCTTCACTGAAGATAAGGAGATAAGATTAAGAGGGGTTGCCACAGCAGAATGGCTGTCTCAAGAGTAACCGTCAGTCAGGCCAGGAGGAATGGCAATGCAGGACACATTGGAGACATCAATGATGCCTGCAACAGCCCTGCTCAGGGTCCTCCCTGAGGAAGGGACAGACATGTCCACCTGAAGACGGGAAAGGAAAGGCTGGCTGTGGGCACAGCACAGACCACCGAGGAGCTGGATCTCAGGGAGGACCATATGCACTCCATGTGGATCGGGGTGTGGGGTTCGATGCAAGGGGCAGTCAGCACCAGCCCAAGGGGAGATAGGGGAGAAAATAAGGAGGGGCAGAGAGCATGGGCCCTGGGAGACAGACTGGTGACAGCCGTTCTACACTACAGCCCCTGTGATGGGTTACCTCCAAAGAAACTGCCTCAAAACCAGGCCCAGAGGAAGTCAAGGTCTACTCCAGGCTTTAGAGTAGACCCAACCCCCACATACAAGGAACAAACATCCAGAGAAGTAGAACACAGTGCAGGGCTGTGGTCCCACATCAAGTGCTGGCTTCTGATTCCCACTGCCTGCCAAGGCACACCTTGGAGAGCCACAGGTGATGGCTCAAGCACTTGAGTCCCTGCCACCCACATGAGAGCCCTCATCGAACTCTGGACTCCCGGCATAGGCCTGGCACGGCTGTGAGTGCTGGGTGGCATCTGGGGAATGAACCAGCATTCTCCCTCTCTCTTTTTTGTGTCTGGCTCTGACATTCAGATGAATAATTTTTAAAAACAGATTAAGTAAGGAAAAGCAGCAAGCCCATAGCCTCTTGGCAACCCTGCTGCCAACAGCTCACCCTGGTGCGTGTTTTCCTGTGACATCTCACAGTCTTCCCAAAAGCCCCAGGCTCTGCCATTGTCTCATCCTCTCCGGGTCCAATGGCGAGAGCTGGGAGGACCAGCTGAGCATCTATCAGCTCTTCGCTCAACAAATAATTACTGAACATCTGCCAGTGTTGAGTATGGGGGATACAAAATAAAACTTGGTGTCTGCCTCCTGGGCCAAGAGAGGAGTCTTTCTAAATGTCTGGACCCACTCCCATGTTAGGGATGTGGAAACCAAGGCCCAGAGGGGCATGTGACTTGCCCGGGATCACACACTCTGACTGCCCTCACACATACGCCTGAGGCATACTGCTCTTAGGTCACCCTGGCACTGTGCTGGGTCTCGGAGAAAGTCATCATTGGTCTCAATGGAAGAGGATGGGACAGAGCGAGGTGTGAGAGGGCATTTCAGACTCACGGCTGCCCAGAAACCAGAGGGAGGTGCCAGGGCTCCACCTACAGGGCTGGACTCATAGGGCTGTCCTCCTCAACCCCCGAAGGGCATATAAAAGGCCCTTCTCAGCTGTACCCATAGGAGGAGGAAGTGGGATCCAGCTGAGGGTCCTCTGTCTGTCAGAGGGTATCGCAGGTTCAGCCAGTTGTGGCTCACTTACAGAGATGCAGCTGCTTCTGACCCTGGCAGGGCTCCTAGCCCCACTCCTCCTCGCCCAGCCCTGTGAGGGCACTGACCAAGGTAATAGCCCCCTGGACAACTGAGGAGGAGGTCCAGAGGGAGGGAAGGGAAGTGGGGAGGGAAGTGGGCTTGGCACGAGGAGTTGAGGGGGTGTCTGTGGCTCTCCTGTGCTCTGAGGTCCTGTCCCCCTGAACAGCCTCCCCCAGGACGGTGGAGACCTCAGTCGTTCAGGGCTGCCTCGCTGAGGCCAAGTGGCTGGTGGATGCTGCCTACAATCGGACTCAGAAGAGGTAGGCCTGGCTGGATGAGGTAGTGAATGGGCTCAGTTGGGGTCATCTCACCCAACACACCCCAGGGCACTAGAGCCTCCCTGGTGGGTGGGCAGTCTGCCTTCTCTCCCTCCTGTGGGCCTCGCACTGTCCTGACTGGCCAGCCCCATCTGGAGCTTGGCTGGGCGGCTCTGTGCCCTTCCTGCAGCTCCTATTCCTGCTCTCCCGGGCAGCATCAGGCAGCGGCTCCGCAGTGGCTCGGCCAGCCCCATGGATCTCCTGTCCTACTTCAAGCAGCCAGTGGCGGCCACCAGGACAGCCGTGAGGGCTGCTGACTATCTGCATGTGACTCTGGGGCTGTTGGAAGAGAAGTTGTGGCACCAGGACTCCAGATCCTTCAATGTCACTGGTACTAGCCTGGTACTGGCCTGGGAGTGGAAGGAAGCCAGCAGGAAAGAGCAGGGCACTACAGCCTTGAGATGTGCAGAAGACAGAGGGACCAGGGGTGGGAGACACGCAACAGCCAAGCTCGCAAAGCAGTCAGGGCCCTAACTATCTGTTCCCCACATCCCCCAGATGTGTTAACGGAACCCCAGCTGCGCCTGCTGTCCCAGGCCAGTGGCTGCAGCACTCAGGAGCAGGCAGAGAAATGCAGCAATAAATATCGCACCATCACTGGCCGATGCAACAATAAGTAGGTGCCGGGACTGACTCAGGACCCCTCTCTCAGTATGCAGGCTCCAACCTTCCTGCTAACCCTGATCTGTCCACTGCTACAGGAAGAAACCCTGGCTGGGGGCCTCCAACCAGGCCCTGGCACGCTGGCTGCCAGCTGAGTATGAGGACGGGCGATCGCTCCCCTTTGGCTGGACCCCCTACAAGAAGCGCAACGGCTTCCTCCTCCCCCTCGTGAGTTGTAGGGGAGGGCCGAGAGGAGGCCTTGGAGCCCCAGCAGGGGAAGACAGCCTGGAGCTGGGCTGTCAGGGCATAAACCAGGCTCCCCCACTTACCAGCTGCCTGACTGGCAATCAGCCAGTCCTGGGTCTCAACTGGCTTCTCTGCTGAGCAGCACTCGACCCCTGACTCAAAGCATGGTGTCAATATTAATTAGTACTTGGCATACGCAGCTGCAGAGGGGTGACCCACTAATGCCACTGCAGTATGGGGTGTATTTTTTTCTCTTAAGAGCAGAACTGTCCAAGTCTCTAGTAGGTAGGAAATGCTATGCGCTTCTATGTGTCTCTTAGACATACCCACTCATCAGTATGATACAGTATTCCTATTAACATATCACACAGTCCATCGCTCACCACTTATCAGTTTCTTCCATGACTCCTCTCCCTTCCCCATCTAATTCTCAGTATGCTCACATGTATTACCTAGAAGCTTGTAATCAGTCACATGTCCGTGACAACTTTCTATTTTCTGATTATCTATCGGTCTAGGCACTGATTTATCAATGCGATCTATTCGCTCTCTGAAAGATCTATCCGCTCTCTGGAAGAGCTGGTGAAGTGTCAGCCGGCCTGTCAGCCAGCCAGGCCCAACTCCTTTACTGACTTCCAGAGGAGCCCTCGGGAACTCAGCCAGGGGCCTCCTCCCAGGAACCACAGCTGGGGCAGGAGGCGGTCCTATCTCAGGGATGAGCAAGGAGAGAACTCTTTCCGGTCCAGTAGGGGGCGCTGCTGCCCCCCGGGGTCGGCACGGCCGGCCAAGGGGCCCAAGCTGACCTTGGCTTCCCACAGGTCCGGGCTGTCTCCAACCAGATCGTACGCTTCCCCAGCAACCGGCTGGCCTCAGACCGGGGCCGAGCTCTCATGTTCATGCAGTGGGGCCAGTTCATCGACCATGACCTGGACTTCTCACCCGAGTCCCCAGCCCGGGTGGCCTTCACTGCCGGTGTGGACTGTGAGAAGACCTGTGCCCAGCTGCCCCCCTGCTTCCCCATCAAGGTACTGTCGGCCGCTCTCCCAGGCTCAGGGGCCTGGCACAGAGTGCAGGCAGGGATCTGGAAGGTGGAGCATCTGCTTCACGTGGCCATACACCTGTCCTGGCTGGGAGTGGGCCTCAGTTCAGGCTGACCAGAGGAGGCAGCAATCAGGACACCTCTTCTGGGAGGCCTTCCCAGATCTCCCTAACACACCTCCAGCATTTCTCTTTTATACCAAGCATGGCAAACATCATCACAGCGCAGAGGCACTACTAAACTCTGCGTGCGTGCATGTGTGTGTGCGTGCATGCGTGTGTGTATGTGTGCGTGCATGCGTGCGTGTGTGTGTGTGTGTGTGTGGTTTTCACAGAACTACTTGGCTCCTGCAGCCTGCACTGGAGGTTTGACCTTCCCAGTCTCCGAGGCTCCCAGTGAAACAGAGGCTTAGCAGCTCTTGAATAGAATTTAAGGAACACAGGCCTAAATGTCAGAACAGAGTTCGAATCCCAACTCTCTCGCTAATCAGCTGCCGCCTCCGCCCCCTTCTTCCCTACCCGCAAATTGAGGGTCTAGGCTGCTTCAAAAGCCTCAGCCATTTCTAACCGTTCACGTCCCTCTGACACAACGGACACTCAGACAGGGTGTGAGGAGTGGTCGGGGTCTGGGTGAGCCAAGCAGGGCTTCCCAGAGGAGGAGGGGACTGTGGAATAGGGGTTGGAGGGAGTTTGGGAAGGAGCAAGAGGAGGCGCCTGCTCCTGAGGGGTCTCCCAGCGACCCAGGCTGTCTTCCATACCTCAGATCCCACCCAACGACCCTCGCATCAAGAACCAGCGCGACTGCATCCCTTTCTTCCGCTCGGCACCCGCCTGCCCCGGGAACCAGGGCAAAGTGCGCAACCAGCTGAACGCACTCACCTCCTTCGTGGACGCCAGCATGGTGTACGGCAGTGAGGAGCCCCTGGCGCTGCGGCTCCGCAACCAGACCAACCAGCTGGGGCTGCTGGCCGTCAACCAGCGCTTCAGCGACCACGGCCGGGCCCTGCTGCCCTTCGACAACCTGCACGACGACCCCTGCCTCCTCACCAACCGCTCGGCGCGCATCCCCTGCTTCCTGGCAGGTTAGGCGCGGGTGGCATCACCCCCCCGGAAGCTGCCGGCGGACGCTCAGGGTGGGGCGGGAGGCTACGTGGGCTGAGGAGAAACGGGGCAGGCCTTGCGCCTTCGTGCCAAGCCCGGGGCAGCCGCCAGGGCCTCTGTGGGCCACGCGGTGTGCGCCGCCTGCGACCCCTGCGCGACCCTCGTCAACGACAAGGGGCCCTGCGCCTCCCACACCGGAAAGGCCCTTGTTTGGGCGGCAGATCCGCCCACCCGCTGTGCAGTCGCACCTGTGCAGCTTCCGTCCTACAGTAATGACCCCTTTGTTAGAAAGGGAGGATTCCTATCAGCTTCATGCTGCTGCCCAGCCCCGGTGGCCTCAGTCAACGGCAGAGCCCATACGGGGACCAGCAGCCACGGGAGCCTCCCTCCCGCAGGACCACGCACGCGTGTATGAAAATGCCTGCCTGAGACATCGTTTAACTAAGGCCTGGCACAAAAGGCATCTGTTAAGAGCCCTGTAGGAGGAGGTCTGGGGGCAGGGGCAGGGCTTCCCAAGCCTGGCTCGCTCTTGGGCTCCTGGGAAAGAAGCATGGACAGCGAGTTCCAGGAGGAAAATAGGTTAGTTCGGGTCAGCGAATTCACACAGGAGTGCAGTTGGGGTCCCCAGCTTGTCTAGATCTCTCTATCGCAGCTGGCGTGGGCTGCACCCTGTCTTCCTGTGGAGTAGAATCACTAGACAGATCGCCCTGCCTGAGGCCAGCAGCTGCCCTGCCTTCCCCACCCCCAGCCCAAACTGCCCCAGCCCATAGGGAAGGGAAGAGGGGCAGTGGGAGATTCAGTGGAGCTGAGGAGGTGAGGGACCAGCAAGGCCAGGATTTGCCCACCGCAACCCTGCAACCCCCAGATGTCTGCCCTCACAGAAACACACTTGCCTGGGAAGGGTTATGGCTACTGTGAAATTGGGGTTTTTAAGGTGATTCCCGGTCCACCGAAACCCCCAAACTGGCAGCCATGCACACCCTCTTTGTGCGTGAGCACAACCGGCTGGCGACTGAGCTGAGACGATTGAATCCCCGATGGAGTGGAAACCGGCTATATCAGGAGGCACGCAAGATCGTGGGGGCCATGGTCCAGGTAGGAAGCTTGGGGTCTCAGCATGCTGCAGAAGGCAACCTCAGAAAGACCCTCCTTACACTCAAGCACAGTGTCATGGCTAAAGCCAGCTGGGGCTGGAGATTGGGGTGGACCCAACGTGACCCCATTCCCCTCTTCTGCCCTTCACTGTGTCATCCTGGCCCTGGTGGTGGTGTGGTGGGGGTGGTGGGGGTTGCGGTTAAGGCATCCCCCACCCTGCAGTGGGAAGTGAATGTTGCTGCACTTGATAGGATGAAAATACAGAAATTGTGGGAGTGAAGAGCCCTTTGGAAAGCACAGGGTGTGTACACGCCCCAGCAGGGGTGTGGGCCTGGTGGCCACTGGACCCTGTCCTCAGGCGACTTCTCCTCCAGATCATCACCTATCGAGACTTTCTGCCTCTGGTCCTGGGCAAGGCCCGGGCCAAGAGAAGCTTGGGACGTTACAGAGGGTATTACTCCAAAGTGGACCCGCGCGTGTCCAATGTCTTCACCCTGGCCTTCCGCTTCGGCCACACCATGCTGCAGCCCTTCATGTTCCGTCTGGACAGCCGATACCAGGCCTCAACCAGAAACTCCCACGTCCCTCTGAGCTCTGCCTTCTTTGCTAGTTGGAGGATTGTGTACGAAGGTGACCACAGATTCCAGGGGCAAATAGGGGTGGGGTTGGGTATGAGGTGGGCCCCATTCACTGCTAATGTCACTTCAGGGCCGTGGGGAAAGTCATGGCCATCTGGCCTGTTGGGAAGGATTTTTAAGAGTAGAAGGGCTGATGGTAGATGAACATACTGTGGGCCTGAAAGGAGCCTCTTGTCCTCTCCCGCTCCAACGTTCATGGCCCCCAGCTTTGGCCCCACCAAGCATTGGGGTGTCCCAAGTGTGGGCTCGGTTTCTGTGAAGGCTGGTGCAAGGTGCCAATCACACTCCTGCCACCAGGTGGCATCGATCCCATCCTGCGCGGCCTCATGGCCACCCCTGCTAAGCTGAACCGGCAGGATGCCATGATGGTGGATGAACTCCGGGACCGGCTGTTTCGGCAAGTGAGGCGGATCGGGCTGGACCTGGCGGCTCTCAACATGCAGCGCAGCCGGGACCATGGCCTCCCAGGTGAGGTCTGGTTTAGAGGAGAGGCTGGGCGCCTGTTTTCTGACTGGGACTGTCTGCAGGAGGTGTAGTGAGGACGAGGAGAGGCAGGCCCTTCTGGGGACACCTGTTGGCTGCCTGTCTCCTCTAGGGTCTCTGATTTTAGATTTTCACTACAAGATGGGGAGTACTTTGAGGACACAGGAGCTGAGGTGAGGAGATGAGGGCCTTCCAAGGGAGGAACATCAGTAGTTATACAAGTGAAAAGGAGACAGTTCCTCCCCACGCCACCCCGCTAGTCCTAAGGAAAAAGATGAAAAGTTCAGAGCTACAGCAACTGGCTCCCCTGCTCTAGGTGGAGAAAGATAAGCTGCCCCAGAGGCAAGGAGCAGCTGGAGTAAAACTAAGGCTGTTTGGTGAGGCACAAAGGCTTATCCCAGAAAGGTGAAGTAGTAATCCTGGCAGAGTTTTCCCAATGATGCTGAGAATTGGCTACATTTCAGTTGTTTTATAGCTGAGGAAATAAGTGCACAGGCAACCAGTAATTTTCCAAAGTCATGCAGGTAGAAAGCACTGAAATCTGAACGTGCTTTAAAATGCATCCTGTCCCACCCTGTTCCACGCACTGAGGAAGACTCCGGCCAAAGCCTGACCTCCCTGTCCTCCCCACTCCCTGTCCAGATAGAATTGGAAGCCCCACGTGCCTCGGCTGATGGGGCCACATAGGAAGGAGTGCAATGGCATGGGACTCCTTGTTGCCTGTTCAACTTGGCAGCCCCTGGCAGTCCCCATTTTTTCACGGACAGGAAGATGCTCCTAAAAGCTAAGGTGCTTCAGTGCCCCCTGCTGGGGAGCTGCGATGACCAGCCGCTCAAGTTCTAACTCAGCTGGACGTGACCCAATACTAAATTTGGCATTTAATTCTGTTTTTTAGTGATAAGAACTTAAGTCGTGGTTGCTCAAATTCAAATATACCAGACAGAACTAGCATGCCAGAATGTATTACACAGGTGCTGGGAGAGCCCTGATGACACCCAGGCAACAATGCTCAGTGGTAGAATGTGGCATGTTTCGCTGAGAGACAGCCTCCACTTCTGCCCAGTTTAATATAAATGGAATCACATGGTATGCAGTGCTTTTCTGAGTAGGTGAATTTTACCCATGATTTTCACTTGTTGATTTGTTCATTTGCTCATTCATTCTACAAACCTGCCTCTTTACCAAAACAAGAACAAAACAAAACAAAGCATGCAAATGTGTATTGTCTTTAAGTTCCATTTTTTTTCCCCGTGAACCTTTTTGCAAGGACTTACTTGGTCTGGGTACCATTTTACTTATGCCCAGTCAATGCACATAAGCCCAATAGCCTTACTGAATTGCTAAATGTCAGCTATGAAGCGGTGAGTTTTGGGGGGCATGCAGCGTGGCTGTCTGCTCACATTTTAAACAAAAGAAATGGCAGTCTGGTCTTTCGAAAAGGGGTCCTCTTGTGTCCAGTATTGACTGGCCACAGAGCTCCGTCTCTGAGGACTTGTGAAGAGAAGAAGGTAATGGGGGATGGGGAGTGGCACAACAAGACCAAAACTGCTTTTCTCCCTCTCGCAACAGGTTACAATGCTTGGAGGCGCTTCTGTGGGCTCTCCCAGCCCCAGAATTTGGCCCAGCTTAGCAGGGTGCTGAAAAACCAGGAGTTAGCCAGGAAGTTCCTGAACCTGTACGGGACACCTGCCAATATCGACATCTGGATCGGGGCCATCGCAGAGCCTCTGCTGCCGGGGGCTCGAGTGGGGCCTCTCCTGGCCTGTCTTTTTGAGCACCAGTTCAGAAGAGCCCGTGATGGAGACAGGTAAGTCAGTAATGCTACCCTAGAATAAGATCCGGAGATAGAGCAGGAAAACCCGAGCATGCCAAGACTATGCCATGGTGGAGACTATCCCTGCTAGCCTCTTTTCCTTCCTGGTTCACAGGATCGGAGACCAGGGAGGGAAGGTCTGCCCTGGAGAGTGGGGTCCAAGGGAGAGAGACACACATACAATCCCAGTGTCTCTGAACTGACAATGCCCGAACAGGAGCCACCTGAAGTAGGGGACAGACCTGTCAGCCCCCGCATTCCAGGTCAGGAGGTCCCAAACAACAGGGGCAGAAACACCCAGTTCCCTTCAATATTTTTGGCTTAACACCTGACCCCAGATTTGGGTTTGGGCACCTAGACTACGGTACCCTTCATATTGGGCAGCTGGACCTGTTTCTTCATTCATAAGATGGTAATACCGGCCTTGCAGGAATTTCATGAGGACTGAATGGAATACTGTATATGAAGTACCCCAGACACAGCAGGTGCTCATGTACGCCAACTCCTCTGTAACTCCCCCCCACCCCCACCGCCTTGATCACTTGGCAGGTTCTGGTGGCAGAAGCGAGGGGTTTTCACCAAGAGACAGCGCAGGGCCCTGAAGCGGATTTCCTTGTCTCGAATTATATGTGACAATACCGGTATCACCACCGTTTCCCGGGACATCTTCAAGGCCAACATCTACCCCCGGGGCTTTGTGAGCTGCAGCCGTATTCCCAAGTTGAATCTGTCTGCCTGGCGAAGCAAGTGAAGTTTCTGCAGGTAAGCAGAGACCTCCTCCGGCAGCCCTGAGCTGGATGGGACCCTCACACCCTTCGCTAGAGAATACAGATGACAGCACTTCTTTTCCAGGGACATGGTGCCTTGTCTCTGTGGCTGCCTAGTATACCTGCTGCTGGGTTGACACTTCATCACAGGGCTGAGGGCTGGGGACTATCTAGGAGGTATCTAATTCCTTCAGCGTGGTCACTAATACCTGAAGGTGGCTCCATTTCTAGGTGTTTGAAAGTTCCTTGCTTCGGCAAAGTCTTGCTGCTTCCCCGAGTGTCTCCTGGGAGATGGATGGCAAGAAGACCGCAAGGCAGCTTTCTCCCCTGCAGCAACTGTGCCCAGCTGAGGCTTTGGCTGGTGACAACTCAGGAGCTGGCTTTACTGGTTGGTGACAGCTGGGACCCTCACAGCTATGGATACACCTGCTTGGAGCCTCTCGGGTATCAGGTTATCAATCAACGCCACAAGCAAGGACCTGGGAGCCAAGCTCTGAGCCTAGGGCCCAGGCAAGAGTCAGCTATAGGCCTTGCAGCACGTTCTTCTGTCTTTCAAACTCCCTTCTTCCCACACTCACACAGTCCCCCAGCCACCCCACAGTCCTCCTTCCTGCCTGTTGACCAGCAATGTTCTGTTTCTACCAATAAAGCACTGCCGAGGGCCACGGCTGTTGTTTCTGGGCCGGGGATGGTGTGGCCAGGCTCTGCTTGCCCCAGGTGCTGCCAAGATGCCAGCTGGCACTCGCCTCTTCTAGGGCTGATCTGAGAGGGTCAAAGTACATAGTCCACAGTGGGGACAGCAGCGGAGGGAAGGGCATGGGTGGCAGGGACCCCAACACTGAGAAGATCCCCTCAGGCCAACGACCTGGGCAGAGAAGCCACTACAAAACAGCAATCGGTATCAAAAAGGCTTTATACACAAAAGCACAATTAAAAACACAGCTCTGCTGGCAGAAAGGAGCGGGTACTGCCCTCAGCCTTCCTTTATGAAATAAGTTGCTTCCCAAACTCAGCCAGACGCAGGCAACAGCAGAAGGCCATGTTGGAAACAGACAGCCGGAATGGAGGGGCCGGCGGTGAAAGATCTCTTTCTACTTCCTGTTTCTTGGAAGAAAGTTATACTTTGCAAGATTGTGGAATAGCAGTACCCGCAGCCCCTGACCGTGGAGACTGCAACAGGCTAGAAAGAGGCCATGTCAAAGACAGACAGATGGTGGGCTCATCCGGGTGAGTTTTGGATCCAAAGCCTGCTGTGCTCTGATGCTCTGACACCGTCTGAAAGGGGCCACATGGGACACAGGCTCTCCAGGGCGCTCACTAAGCACACCCCTGTCCTGGCTAGCTTCTGGCACAGTGGGCCAGGGCTGCGGTGGGCTAAGAGGTCAAGGTCCTGGATGGGCTCACTAGGTCCTGGGGGAGGCTCTCCCGGGCTTCCTGCATACGGCGCCGGGCTCGACGGAAGGCTTCTGCAAGGGAAGGGGACACTGCTATGATACAAGCAGGAACATGACCTGCGCGACCCTGGAAGCCTGGGTGGAAAGGGGCACATACCCAGCACGTTGTGGACAGAGCTCTGCTGGCTGAATCCCTCCAGACGGTCCAACACACTCCGCATCCTTTTCCGCAGGGAGCTCGATTCCATGAAGGCCCTGCAGGGAGGCCGAGCACATGGTGGCCATGTTCCCAGCACCCAGGGATGAGGAGCCCCGAGACGCAGGGCCAGGGCCACTCACCTGGACTGCTGCAGACAGTATAGGCGGAAGGTGACACTGCCCGTGGTCTCTGTGCGGAGACCAAAGCGGCTCAGGCGCTCCCCCTGCAGGGACACAGGGAAGGCAGTGTCAGGCTCTGCAGCCCTAGCTGAGACCCTGTGGCAGACTGGCCACACTCTCAATCCTCACTCTCAGGAAGACCACTTCCGGTGGGGAAGCCCCCTGCCAGCACCTCCAGGCTAGCATTGGGTTCCCCACTGTGGTCATGGGGTCTTCTGCCCTGATAATGGAACCCTTCAGGAACAAGGGAAATCCCCCAAGGGCACTAATTTCTAGAGATGTCCTAGACAGCAATGTGGCCCTGTCTGGCTCCCAAAGTGGCTGTGTACCACTAGACAGCAGGTGCTTAGCAATGGGAAGGGGAAGCAGGGACCAACTCAGGGGCCTTAACCCATATGTTGCCTTCCAGTAAGTTCCAAGCATGGGGTCTCCTCAGAGGCAGAAGCCACCTTGAAGGTCCCCGGGATCCGCACGTAGGACAGGTCCTCCAGCTCCAAAGAACCACCAATGAAAAACCTCCTGAGCTCAGCCAGCGTGCCAAGGTCTGTGGGCCTCCACGTGGAGATGGTCAGGGTATGCGAGCCTGTGTGAGGAAGAGGGCAGAGGGGCCAGGGCCCAAAGAGGTACATTAGCCCTCTGACTCCTAGCAGTGCAACGGACCCATGCACTGGGAGCTTCAGTGATGGGGCGGGGTTAGCTGAGGGGGGTAGCTGGCCCCTGCTGAAGGCTGTCATGGCAGTTCTCAGCGCCTGTGTGGAAACCAGCAATACAAACCCCAATGTCGGCCCTGCTGCTCACGCCCAGCATGCTCAGGACAGCTTTCTCAGCCTCTCAGAGCCTCTTTCCCTTCATCTGGTAAACCAGAAGGAACTCCACCCATGCCTCCCAGAGCAGCGGCAGGAACCGACTGCAAAGCCCGCAGCTCAGGGTCTGCACTCTCATTTCAAAATGAATGTGGGTTCCATCAGCACGTGCTGGAGCCCCCAGCCCAGAGCTGCTCCCTCACGGCTGCACCGCATCAAGGGAGCACTGGTCCGTACTTGGTGTCCCTAAAGGGCAAGAAGCATCCTCAGAGGAGAGGTCCCTGATTCCTAACAACCCCCGCTTCTTCTGAGAGGCTTTCTCAGCTGGAAAACTCCGTGTTGCTCCTCGGTCCAAGAGCCCATGACCCAGAGGCAGGGCAGGGACAAAAGGTTACCTGGGGTGATAGGCAGCACCGCAGCCCCGTAGCCTTCCACGCGATACCTCTGCCAGAAGTCCAGTGAGAGGACCTCACAGTACAGCACGGGCCACTCCGGGAGAGACTCTGGGAGCGGGGGCGTGGGGGGGCAAGCAGCCGGGTCACAGGAGGCTTCGCCCAGAGAGGGAGCCAGCTGGGGAGGCCCAGGGCCCAGGCCACCACTGGGTCACTTACCCACAGATTCGTCCTCATGCTGGAAGAAGGCTTCCCATGTGAATGGGTAGGAGAAGTAAGCCACCTTGTCCTGAAAAACAGGGGTGTCACTTTACACTTGGGGCTGCAGAGTGGGCAGGGTCTCACTTGGACTCTGCTCTGTCTGTGGCCAGTACAGGGTCACCTTCAGGAGGGAACAAGACAAATGATGCCCTCCCACCCCCGACGGGAGGCCAAGAGGCAAGGCAGCCAGCATCCTCAACAAGACAGAGAGAGGACCCTGGCGCGGGCATCCTAAGGCGCCACTTGGAAGTCAGGGCACACTCTGGATTCTCCCCAGTGACCTGGTAGTGCTTCAAATCATGCTTCCAATCCTCATGCCCACCCAGAAGCCCTCCTCATTCTCATACCATGCCTAGAGACTTAGTGGTACAGGTCTGTGTCACCCCTGAGAGCTGCTGGAAAGCTGGGCTTGACCAGTCTGAAAGCCAAAGACCAGATACAGTGAGCTCACCTGGGAGGGGAGCCAGTGGTTGAGAAAAAAACCCAGTGCCTACCTTCTGCCATTCATTCACTCATTCAAACCATCTTGAAGACAGAGCAGACAGGAACTGCGGACGGACTGACTGGCTGCAGCGAGCCAGAAAAAGAGAGCAATCAACCTGTAGATTTCTGTTACAGGGAACAGAGTGGCTGACACTGTGCTTCTGCCAGGATGGGGAAGCCCAGAACCACACAGTCAGGGAGGAAGGGCATCCTGAGTTCTTGGTGGTAAAGTGAAGCAGGAATGCCAAGCATCTCCAATAGGAGTCTGTGACATCAGATGGTGTCTAAGCCAGAGGGTGGGTGTGTCACCCAGGAAGAGGGAGGACAGAAGGAACATAGGACCTACACTCGGCCCTGGACACCCCAGGACCTACACTTGGCACTGTGGAAATCAATAGGAGGACATGAATCAGCCAAGAGGGCTGCTGAGCCACCCATGACATGGAAGGGAGAGGACTAGCTCAGAAAAACAAGTGGGCTGAGCCACGTGCTGCAGAGAGATGGAGAAAGGTGGAATCAGGAAAGTCACCATGGCCTTGATGCATGGTCGTGCCCCGTGACCTTAAAGAGAACAGGGCCGGTTTTGGTGGAGATACAGGGAAGAAGACCTGAGCACACACCTCCGGAACTCTCAGGATGCCCATGCGGGGGAGACTGAAGGACAGTACTCACTAGTGCTTGGCAGCTCCACAAAGAAGTGCACATACAGGTTGTCATACTCGTAGCCTTGGGCTGAAACTGATCAAGAAAATGAGAAATTACTTGAGCTTTTCCTTCTACCACTCTACCAAGTTCTGCCCTAGGCTCTGGAAACAAGCCTGCCGAGGGTCTGAAATCCCCAAGTATCCAGGTTACACTCATCATTGAGGTTCCCAAGGGCCGCAGACAACCCAGGGCCTCCCCCAGGGTGGGGCATTGCCCAGGCAGCAAGACTGTCTCTGTCTGGCAAGTTACTTACCCACCTCTCCATTGATAAAGAGCCGGAGGGCACCTGGGACAGTCTGGGGTGGAGAGAGATAGGTAAGATCGGTGGGCTGGAGGCGATCGGCGCTGCTGCTCAGCCCTGTCCATACACCTACAGAAGACCTGCCGCTGGAGGTCAGACCTTGGGCATCACCACTGCCCAGTCTCCCCACTAACGCAGTATGGGAAAGTAACCAAAGGAAGCTGCTCTTTGAGGCGAAGCAGGCAGCTTGAACTCTGTGCCCCTTAGAAAATGACTGAGGCCAGGAAGCCAGATTCTCCTTCTTTAATTATTTGTGTATGTGTCTTATCTAACTTTCTGACACGGAACAATGATTGATGCTGCAAATAGGAGAATAATAGAATTTTTGAGACAGAGAGACCATCGGCTAATGCCATCCTTGATGCTGGATCTGGAAAATGGAACTCCTGGAATAAAGGCAAACAAAGAACAGACCACAGAATAACCAAACTAAGTGGTTCCGGCTAAGAGATAAGGTGGGGTGGGCATTGGCAGAAGGCAGACACTGCCTGGGACCCCGGCATCCTTGCCCTTGGGATTGCTGGATTTCCATCCCAGCTCTGCTCCTATTTCAGTTTGTGCTAATGCATCCCTAGGAAACATCAGGTACTCAAGGATGGGGGTCCTACCATCTATACAGGAGACCCAGCTGGAGTTCTAGCTTCCTGGCTTCAGCCTGGCCCAGCCCTGGCTGTTGGGGGACATTGGGGAGTGAACCAATGGATGGAGAATTAATCACTCATGCTCTCTATCTTTTTCCAAATAAGTAAATAAAAGTTTTTCTTTGAAAAAAGTCAAAACAGATCATAGTAAGAAATTCCTTACCCCCTTTTCTTTCTCTATGGGGTAATTCAGGAAAATATCCACATTAAGGGTGAAGAAGATATTTTTATCTGTATAATTTTTAGTGAATTGTAAAGTACTATAAGAATTCATTACCACTTATTAAAAGTTCAAAACTGCTTTAAGTATAGGAAACACACACCCGAAGTTACCCAATGCTCACATCCCACCTCCTGGTCCCCCCTTCCTTTCCGACCTCCCCTGGTGCATTAACACCTATCTAAACAACGTGTTCTACACCACGTGCAGTGTTCCAGAACACAAGGACCACAAGCTACTCTGTGACATCGGTTTTTGCTGAAGAGCAAGCCTCCAAGTGCTTTCTGAAAGGCACAGTTAGCAGCAGACTGCTCCACCGCCCACAGCTCGCCATGCCGCAGGAAGCCCAGCCACTCACCATCTCAAAGTCCGTGCCCACCAGGCTGCTGAGGTACTCCTTGTGCCGGCCATAAAGCTGAGGAACCAAACCAAATCAAACCTTAAGATGTGACCCCAGTCGGCCTAGAGTTTAGTTCTGAGCGAGATGGAGAGAAGCAGCAGTAATGGGAGAGGCACTGGGAGTTGGAAGCCTGCGCATCTCGGCTGCTGATAGGGGGTATGCACTTGGCGGGGCTGGACCCACCAGGGCCCTGCACTCACACCTGGGCAGGCTTACTTAGCTCTTCGGTACTGGTTTGCTCATTTACAAAATGGTAGGAGTAAAGATGTGTACCTCAAGAGGCAGCTTTAAGGCCTAAATGGAAAACGGGACGTGAGGTGTCTGGCCCACAGCATGGGAAAGGCTCAAACCAATGGCCACTGTAATGGCTGTTGGGCTGTAGGATGCTCACACATGGCCACGGCGAAAAGACAGCAAGGTGGGAGGTGGGCTTCAAAGGGCATGACCAACCACTGCTTCCATGAGGCTCAGTCACGGCCTCCGCTCTGGGTACCGGGGCCTTGCCCTGCAGTACTGGCATAGGAGTAACTCTTACATCCTTGAACACACGCTGCTCCCGCTCCTCCTCTTCCGGCTGTGCCAGGGAGGACACATTGTCGATGGTGTACTTCCACAGCTCCTGCTTCTCCCCCTCTGTCTCGATTCTGTGAGGTCAAACCCGCAGAAGGATCAACTCCCTCGGTGACAGCCGAGTCCCTCCAGGCTCGCCTCAAGGATGAGCCACAGCTGCCACATATCTCACTCAGCCCATGGGCATGGCTATCAGCCATGCTGGGGAAAACAGTGACAGAGTAGAGGGGACAACAGACTAGAGATTCCCAGGCCCATTTCAGCCTCTGAGTCACAGTGAAGGCCCAAGGCACAACCAGCCTGGCTCCTGGTTCTCTCACCTGGAAAGTGGAGAGATTGGTCCAGATCATTAATGCCTTGCAGCTGTCACCTGAGACAGATATGCAAGGAACAATTGGCGCACAGGAGGGTTGGCTGAGGCCACTGCCCTACCCTGGCCCTGCACTTGGCTGTGCACAGCATCGTCTGCATACCACCAGCCACCAACGGAAGGCACTGCTTCCTAGCTGTGCAGCCACACACCGTATGGCAGCGTCCTCAGGGCCAGCGAGCCGGGGCAGAATAGAGAGCACTGCAGAAATGTGGAATGAGCTTTCTGAGAATGTCCTGGAGCAGGGGCAGGAAGAAAGGCCACAGGAAGGCACACCAGTTGTCACAGTACCTCCTTCCTCCTCTCACCTGTAGGGCCCTTTGAGGCCAGTGAAGTCAGGTTTGACTGTGATCACTCCATTGCTGTCCACCTTTAGAGTACACAGGACATGCTCATACTTCTTATAGCCAAGCCTAGAAAGTAGAAAGTCCAAAGAGGTGCTTGTGCGCCCTCCAGGAGAGTAGGCGGACAGCCCACTTGAGGGAAGAGGCTGAAGGCGTCTTCCACTGAGAAGAGAGGGAAGAAGAAGGCCTTCCCTCTCCCACCAGCCTGGAAGACTATACCCAGAAGGAAGGAGATGGTGAGTGATACGCAATGATGGTGACCAGGGTGGGCAGGGAGACGCTGCACTCACTTTCCGTAGGGCCCCAGGTCTGCCATGATGTACATCGTCTGAAGAGGGGTATTAATGACGTGGTTGTTCCGAACAAAGTCCTCGGAGGGTTCCCAGGTGACAATGCGGGACTTGAGAATGCCGCCCTCTCTGGGAGACACCATTGGGAAAGGTCACCTCCCTGGTACCCCATGGAAAGCCCAATGGGTCCACACAGAGTGGAGGTCCACTGTGGACTGGGCAGCCAGGGCCAGTGGACACACATTGCACAGTAGCATGGAGGGGAACCCAGCACCCCTGCACTCCTGTGTCCTTGCACTCACGTCCCTCGCCTGTCCTGCCGGCGCCGCCTGACATTCGCCATCCGTTCGACCAAGAAGGATGGCATCTCACTGGCTGCCGTGGTCATTTTCTGACAGTGCTGGGGAAAAGAGAGCAGCCCTGTGCAAGCCATCTGGACAGGGCCACCTGGGCCCAAGTACCTGCACGGACATCTTCCTGCAAACCCTCATCAGGAGCCAGAACCTGGCAGCGATAACCAGCTCATAGTCAGACCACACCAACAAGAGAGTGGGGGCACAAACAATCCAGAGAAGACCCCTACAGGGTCTCAGTTTGCCCTAGAATTAAGGAATTTCTTTACTTTTTAATTTATTTGACAGAGAATGTGTTCCCATCCACTGGTTCACTCCCCAGACATCCCCCGTAACTGCACAGGGAACCATGAATACAATCCAGGAACCCAGTTACTTGAGCCATCACCACTCCCACTTAGCATACACATTAGCAGGAAGCTGGAGTCAGGAGCTAGAGCAGGCTGTTGAACCCAGGCACTCTGATATGGGAACAGGCACCTCCACCAGCACCCTGAGTCAAATGCCTACTCCCTTCCCCTGCAAGTCTAGAAATCAGCCTGCATTCAGTTGGGTTACTGCCTTATTCATGTTAAGTTGGCCAGGTTGTTGCAAATTGCTAAATGGAAAATCCTGATGTGGGTAACTGAGCCCTACCTGGATTTTTAGTTCCAGTTTTCCAGAATTTTCCAAACCAGACATCCCACATTTTATATGCCATCAACCCACAGCTCTCTTAACAGAAGCTTCTAATCTGGCAAAATCATTTAACACCTGCCACTTGCAGAGCTCTACAGGATTGAAGACCAAAACCAGAGAATACAAGCTGTACTCTCACGGAGTTTCAAAACCTCCCTGAGAAGCCAGAGTCTGTGAAGTGATTAGGGGGAAAAAAACCAACCCACAGCACAGCCACAATGGTATGGCATAGGCAACTGGAGCACACAGCATTCCCCTCAGGGCTGCACTGAATCCCTCTTCAAACACACACACTGCATTGTGGCTGAGTTCCCTGCTGAATTCTACCTAGAATGTTCTAGATTCCACCCATGTGTCTTATCTCCCGATGCTTGGTGGAAGTCCAGGGGTTGCTCCTGCAGGTTTGCAGTCTGCCAGCCGGGCCTCAGAGATGCTGCAAGTGTCTCCCTCCTGGCCCTTCAGCAGGCAGAGGGAGCAGCGGTCCCACCACCTGCGGACACTGCCCACTCTACCTCAAGCTGCCAGCAGCTCATGGCAGTTTCCAGGCAGTCTATAGATCTCCCCTACCCCCGGCCCATGCCAGGCTTCTGATTTAGCATCCAGTGAGGTGGCAGAAAACCAGGGGAGGCAAAGAAGCAAGCTATAGGGCCTTGGGAAGAACAATACCTCTTCCAAGTTGGTGTATCTGTCAGAGTCGGTGTAGGTGAAGATCCGTCGGTTCTTCCTGCCACCCGAGTGTTCGAGCTTCAGGACCTCCTGCCGGTACTGATGATCCAAAGGGCTCTGACAGGCGGCTTCGTTTTGGTACAGATCTACTTCAAACTGAAGCCACCCCGAGGAAACAGACATCAACTGAGACCCCACAAACTTTCCTTCCGGAACTGCTTCATCCAGTCAACCCAACAGAGCTGATATTTTCTGGCATATTTGCATAGACTCAATTCCCATTTATTTAGAATGTCGGAGATAAAAGGAGCGGGGGGCTGTAATGCAACTCTGCTGTCCCAGGTGGCATAATGCACAGGGAAAAGGGCCTCAACCCAGACTGAGCAGTGGCAGCCATGATATGGGGAAACACAACAGGGGAAAACCTAAACAGGTGCAAGCTTTCCAGAAATCAGTTGGGCAACCCTTACCTGGCCGGGTGGAAACAGGTCAGGCAGACCATCAACATTGACTCACCTGGCTGAAGAGCTTCTCCTGCCACCCGATCACCAGCTCCTCCTCTTCATCTTCATCCGGGCGATGTCCACCTCCAAAGACAACAGTGCAGCTCACGTCAGTCCCACTTGGTGAGCCGGCTGATTGCAAGCAGAGCCAGCTGGGAGTTCAGGGATGTATTCAGCACTCCATATACAGAAAGGTTAGAGACTGACTACTCCAGTTAGCAGGGGCAGAGCCGAGACGACAACCCACAAAGTCTCGATCACCACTCAAATTCCAATAAAATGTAGCCTTGCAGGAAATAGCCCATCTCATGCACTGTCAGGAATGGCACTTTAGATGGAGGCTGCCTCGCCAAGCTCTCCCTTGATGCCAGCTGTCTGTATGTGTGAGATGAGAACCCTGACATTTTGATCTTTATTATTCCTGAAGCCATATACCTGGAATCACAACCATGTCAGGGACCAAGTGCCAGGTGAGGCAAATTAATGATTTTTGAAAGAACCAAATGTAACAAGCTCCCAAGATTTTTTTTTTCATAGACACAAGCTTCAAAATTGACTGCCACACACTTCTGAGTACAAAGCAAAAACAACCAAAGGCAGAAGCACCTATGACCTCACCCGGGTACCTCAGTGTCTCTTCCTTGCTCCTCTAGCTGCCCAGACAAGGAGAACCACAAGAATACAGTGGGTTTTCACATGCAGTTGGCAAGTAGCGTTCTATCTTAAAATTGTCTAAGTGTTCACATGCAAATACAGACTTCAGAGTATACCTTCTTACACACACACACACACACAAACAGAGCTACAACTGGTACTGGGGTCGCCAGGTACATTTGTAACATTTCAGAAGTAGACTGTTGATCATTTCACTCTATTTGCCCACGTATATGTCTTGATGGTAGCAACTGTGCTTATTCCACCCTCACAAACAACACAATATAGTCGTTAACACTGCCTGCGGTCAAATCCAGGTGCCAACATTTACCAGCCATGCAACTTCAGGTAAGAAACTCAATCTCTCTGCCTTCCAGTTCTCCTAGGTTAAAAGGTGCTGTTTTCTCTGAAGACCACAGACCTGGGTCTCTTCTGTCGAAAAGGCACCTCTACCTCCCCCAACCTTTGCCCAGGTCCCCAGGGACCCAGCTCTCCACCGTGACACCCACTGGCAGTGGGGTGAGGCCCGAAGGTGGCCAAGTCTATGAGGTCCTTCCCCGGCAGGGCGGCAGGCTGGTAATGCAGAAAGCTGCTGGAGGTGATCCTTTGCAGGTGGACTCTGTCGAGAAAACAGAAGCCCCAAATGCGAGTTACAACACACACACACACCATGCCGAGCAAGGATGGCAAGAACAAAATAGAGGAGGTGGGATACAGAGGTGGGATACAAAGGTGGGGCACGGGCCCTACAGGAAAGAGGATGAGAGGATGTACTGGATACCAGGGCTCTGAGGAACTAGGGAGCTGCAGGACTTGAAACGGGGATGGCTGGGTGTGAAAGTTGTGCTTGGACGCGGTGCGCGCAGAGGATTGGGCAATGGGAGACGAAGTGGGAGACCACCGAGGAAGCAGTCGGATTGTGAGCGGAAGCGGGGGAATCAGTAGTACAAGTTCAGGCTCGAATTATCTAAGGGTATAAAAGCATGGCTTCCCGGGCTGGGGCGGCGCGACTACCGGAGGCGCAGATTGCGCACAGGATCCCGGGAGCGGTACACGGCCTCCCCAGTGTCAGTGCTCCACCCGGTGTCCGCCATGACAGCTGCGACGCGCAGCGCCTGCGCCGGATAGCGCGCTGTCCCTAGTTCCCCTGGCGACGCAGACGCTGGGGCGGACGCCCTTCCTTCCGCATGGTCTCTCCCTGGCGCTCCAGCGCGAGCGGTGCAGGAACCAGCTGCTAATCCGCTTACCATTGGCGCGACCCAAGAGGCGGGCCTTGATGCGATGAGCCAATGAGGAAGCAGGCACCGCCGTCAGCCCACTTCACGTAGACGCGGAAGGGGCGACGGGGCCGGACTTGTGTGCCCGCTGTGCCTTTCTGTCTTCCCCTGGACGTGACTGGAGGAAGGCACTCGTTGTTACCCAAGGCATTACGGAGGGCGGCAGCACGCACCACATAAAAACATGAATTCTTAAGTGAGGGAGAAAAAAGTGTCCTGTGTATCAGCCTTTGTTTTGGTATTCTCTCTGGACCTGAGAAGGGAAAACCAGGAAGACCAGCAATCAGAACAAGGAAGTCAGCAGAAGGGGGAAAAAGGTGTTGTTTTAGCCCAGGTTCTTCCCCTGCGTGTCACTGCCCTGCCCCTGACCCCCGAGAAACCCGCGAGGTGACATTTGGGGCGTGCCAAACCCTCAAGCTGGTTCCCAGCACCTTGTGAATGTCAAGTTATGCCTCTGACACTTGCTGCTTCCCCAACAGGGTGAGCAGGTGTCCCCCTGAATTCAGGAATCTCTTGTCAGTTTGATCTTATGGCTTTGAAAGGCAGAGTCCCATAGCTGCTCTTTCTGTAACACCTAGGACGCGTCAGACATAGCACCGTTTATTTAGGATCTAACATAATCCGGGAATTTGGTTGGCACTGTTCCTAATCTGTATAGAAATCTTAAGTCCCTATTTTACAGGTGAAGTTTGTGCAAGCCAGAGGCTAAAGAGTTCACCAAGGTGGCACTCCAGTGAGTGACAGACACATTGGATTGCAGTCAGTTCTGTCTGTCTCTGGAAGCCCACACATCCTTCACTCACAGCCTTTCACTGGCCAGGGTGTTCACTACCACTGTAGGAAATGACTGTTCCAACAGATGAAGCTGTGGAGGCAGAAATCATAGCACTTAAGAAAGGACCCCTGCAGCTTTCCCTGCGGCATTGTGAGTGTGCCAACACGGCACCCTGTGAACCTACCAAGGTGGCATCAACGGTGTAAGCTATTGGTGTAACTAACCATTCTTAGTATTACACTTTTTTTTAAACAAATTAATGGGCTTTTGTGAATTCTCTGTTTACTGATTTCTATAAATCAAAACTCTTAAAACTGAAGTTCCTGAGTAGGATTCAACGGGGCCATTATCTTGTTCCCTGGAATTCTGGATGCGGCAATTTCTGGGACGTGTTCACAGCTTGCATCAGATCGCAAAAGCCTTCTCTCCTGGTATCAAGAATGGCCTGCAGCCCTACACTCATACTCTGGCATCTTGTTGAAAATCAGGCTTAGATTATACAAACGAGAAGCCAAAGTCTCTATTTCTATTTATTTTAAGATTTATTTATTTTTATTGTAAAGGCAGAGTTACAAAGACAGAAGGAGAGACAGAATATCTTTCACCCACTAGTTCAATCCCCAAATGGCCACAATGGCCAGCATTGGGCAGTCCTAAGCCAAGAGTCAAGAACTTCTTCCAAGTCTCCTATGCGGGTGCAGGGGCCCAACGACTTGGGTGAGCTTCTTCTACTTTCCCAGGCCATAAGCAGGGAACTAGATTGGGAGTGGAACAGCTGGGACTAGAACCAGTGTCCATTTGGGATTCTGACACCCTAGACACAGGCTTAGCTTGATATACTACCATACTGGGTCTACTTTTATTTTTATTACACAAAAAAGGGTCCACCCATATTGTTTCACTATCACCGATAGCCAAGATATGCAATCAACCTTAATAGCCATCGGCAGATAAATCAGTAAAGACGATGTCCTGTGTGGATACAATGGAATATAACTGTTGGGGCAGGGGGACATGATATCCTAACATCTGCAGCTGATGGATGGAGTAGGGGAACATTATGAAGTCAGACACAGAAAAAAAAATACCACATGTTCTCCCTCACATGTGAAAGCTAAAATGAAATCAATCTATGTATGGTGGAGGGATTGGTGAGAGAGGCGGGTTGGGTTATAGATATCAGAATGCAGTTGGAGGAAGGCAGGTAGCCTGCTGCTCTGCAGCACACCAGGGGATTGCAGCGCACACTGAGCTGTAATTCATTTTGTGAATGATTGGAAGACACGAGCCCCAAGCCTGCGCCCAGTGTGGGGTGGCGTCACAGGAGATGGAGAGGTTCATTGCCTTGGTTTCGTCAGTACACAGTGTTCACACACATGGTAGAGTGTTGCATTGCACCCCTGAGGCTGTGCTATTATTGCGCATTAATTAAAATTTGTTTTAATTTTAAAAATTGTACCATCTACAATAGCATCACATAAAGCAGGAAAATTAAAGTATGTGCAAGGCTTTACACTTCAAACTTCAAAACATTGATTGAGATAAAAAGGTTCTGTTAAAACATATGACTATTACATATTCATAGTCAGTGAATCAGTATTATTAAGATAATTATCTTCAAATGATTTAAGTTCCAATAAAACTCCTACCCCATTTCTATAGAATTGACAAGCTGATTCTAAAATTTATATGCAAGTACAAAGGATTTGACTGGTTAAAAGGATTTTGAAACATAAAAACAAAACTAAGTATGGTGTGGTATAACATAGAGGAACAGATTGATAGAACAGTATATAGAATATAAAATATATCTCTACATTTAATAAATGGATCTTTGAAAATGACCCTAAAGTAATTCAATGGAGAAAGTATTTTCCACAAATAATACTGAAATAATTGGAAATCAAAAGAAAACAGAAACTCAACTCTTTATTCCATGAAATTCAGTAAGTAAAATAGATCATAGACCTAAAAGTAATATTTCAAATATAAAATGCCTAGACGAAATGTGAGCAAATCTCTGAGATCCAAAATCTTTGAGACCATGAATGGGTGAAAGTTCTTGGCTAGGATTCAAAATGTACAAACTATAAAGAAATTAATCAGTTGGTTTCAATTAAAGCAAACAACTTCTGTTCTTTAAAAGACACTGTTAAGAAAATGAGAAGGCAAGAAGTAAACTGGGAAAATATATATGTAAAATATGTCCAATAAAAGACATATGGAGTATCTATAAGATGCTCTTATAACTCAGTAATAAAACAATATTTTTTATTGTTAATAACATTGTATTATGTGATATAGTTTTATAGGTACTGGGATTCCCCCCAACCGTCCCATAACCTTCCCCCCATGGTGGATTCCTCCACCTTGTTGCATTACTACAGTTCAAGTTCAGTTGAGATTCCTTCATTGCAAGCATATACCAAGCATAGAGTCCAGCATCTTATTGTCCAGATAAGTTCAACAGCTTCTTGGGGAGACGTTCTCTGGTCTGAAGGTAGAGCCAACACAGTAAAATCCCAATAAATTAAAAGTCCCAACATAACATCAGCAACAATATACAATGTTATGGAATTAATTGACATAATATTGAGTAAACAATATGTTAAAAATAATGCAAGTTCAATTTTTCAAAACACATGGTTGAGACAGTATTAATTACAGCTTCAAAAAAAATTACAGGTTAAATTAAGGCAAACATGTGTTATCTAACCTTTTGGGATTGGCTCATTTCCCTTAGCATTATGGTTTCCAGTTGGGCCCATTTGACCACAAAGAACTGCATTTTGTTTTTTTTAATAGCTGAGTAGTATTCCATGGAGTAGATGAACCATAGAGTTGAATAGGCATTTTACCAAAGAACACATATTAATGGCAATAAGCCCATGAAAAGAAACTCAGCATCATTAATCAGGAAGTGCCTTGTTAAAAACATAGCCGGAGTGGGCAGCACAATGGCTCAGTGGCTAAAATCCTCACCTTGCACATGCTGGGATCCCGTATGGGCACCAAATCGTGCCCTGGATGCTCCACTTCCCATCCTGGGAAAAGCAGTTGAGGATGGCTCAAAGACTTGGGACCTGCACCCACGTGGGAGACCCAGAAAAAGTTTCTGGCTCTTGGTTTCAGATAGGCTCAGCTCTGGTCATTGTGGCTGCTGGAGGAGTGAACCAGTAGATAGAAGATCTTTCTATTTCTTCTTTGTAAATCTGGTCTGCCTTTCCAATAAAAAATGAATAATATTTTTTAAATGCAGTAAGGGGCAGGGAATTGGTACAGCATTCAAGTTGCACTTGGGATGCCTGCATCCCATGTCAGAGTGCCTGATTCAAGGCACTGCTCTGCTTCCAAACCCAGCTTCTTGCGGATGCACACCCCAGGAAGCAGCATGCGATGACCCAGGTGCTTGGGTCCCTGCCATGCTGAGTATAGCGCTCCTGGCTTCAACCCCGACCACCAACAGCTGTTACGAGCTATTGGTAAATTACTGAGCAGATGGAAGATCTCTTTCTCTTTCTCTCTAAACTTTGTCTCTCTGCCTTTCAAGTAAATAAAAATAAACAAAATTTATTTGAAAAACACAATAATATACCACTACATGTCTATTAGAAAGTCTAAAACTAAAACTTTATCTATTCTCTTAAGATTTATTTTTACTAGAAAGGTGGATTTACAGGAGAGACAGAGAGAAGGATCTTACTCTCCAAGTGACCACAATGGCCAGAGCAGTTGTCCAGATATTCACTGCCAACACTTGGCTGGGGTAGCTGATCAATTTGTTCTGTCCTCTGTCCTCTGTCCTCTGTTATGCTCCAGTGTACTGCCATATCCTCTATGTGCATCTGGATATGCTGTTCACTGCTCCACCTAAGCTACTTTGGAGGCCCATGTACTCCACGATCAGACCATGGAACCTGCAATTCTCTCCATGGCTGGAGTTCTGGGTCCGGTGGTTCAATTGAGCGGGTTTCCCAAACCTTTCCAGACCTGATTCTTGTATGTGCTTGCCAATATAGCATCTGGCACAATTCGTCCCCCAAATCAGCATACACACATGCTGATGGTTGCAGTTCCCGGATCAGTTCTAGCTCCAGCCCTGTCTTCTCTCTCATATATGTCAATGCACATTGGCCCA